CAAGAAAAAACCCAACGTCTCATATAATTACAATAAAATCGGAATACGATTTAAAAAAGTTTTCCTAGTCATTACAATTAGCGCTTTTATATTGTTAAAATCATTTTCCTCTTTTAACTGTGTTTTAGTTAGTTTGAGAAACGCTTGCCCTCTAACATTTAAGTTTGTCTACCTGCTTGATATCGTTATGCATTCTCTTACTCCCGCTGCACACTTGTTTACTCAATCATATTATATCGCTCCACCGTCGATTTGCTTTTGCATTTTTGTATCTTTTGTTTACGCTTATAGCCTTATTGTATTATTAGTTTTTTTTAATGTTGCCCACAAATTTAACGTTTTTTTACGCATCTTTTCAAACATATTGCTTTATTCCACCTTTCTACACTTATTACTTGTTATTATAACTAATTATGTACTAGTTTTAATGTTCAAAAATGGCGATTAATATATATTACCAAAATGTACGTGGTTTACGTACAAAAACTTCAGCCTTCTATAGAAATATTAACATAAACTCTTATGATGTTATATGTTTATCAGAAACTTGGTTGAATGAAAGCGTTAAAGATAGCGAATTATTCGATGATAGGTACATAGTTTGGCGACGGGATCGAGATTACAAAAGAATTAATCAAACATTGGGGGGTGGAGTGTTAATTGCTGTTCGCCGGGACCTCTCAGCAGAAGTTCGTAGTGATTGGTGTTCGAATGCCGAGGACTTATGGGTAACATTGACACTTAAATGCCGGAATCCTAAGGTAGTGTATAAACTGCATATTTGTACGGTATATATATGTAACCAAAGCGTATTTTGTTCACTACCAACTCAGTTAACCGCATACTCCCGAAAACTTTGTGATACAATATTAAAACATCCTTGCGAAAAATTTATAATTCTTGGCGACTTTAATATGCCTAACATAATCTGGAAGTCGTGTGATCAAAACATTTCATATATACCCGAGAACATACAGGGCTCTTATCAATTTGATTTATTTGATAACATTAATATATGTAATTTCATCATCATCATCATCATTACAGCCCTTCACAAGTCCACTGCTGAACATAGGCCTCCCCCAAAGAATGCCACAAAGCACGGTCCTGAGCCACCTGCATCCATCGACTTCCTGCATGTCTTACCAGGTCGTCACTCCATCTCGTGGGGGGACGCCCTACACTTCGCCTACCGGTACGAGGCTGCCACTCGAGAACCTTTCTTCCCCATCGGTTGTCGGTTCTTCGAGCTATATGGCCGGCCCACTGCCACTTCAGCTTACTAATCCGTTGTAATTTATCACAATACAATTATATACATAACACAAATAATAGAATTTTGGACTTAATATTTTCTAACAGCACGTTAGCTGTTAACCACTGCGGAAACCCGCTAATACCCGAAGATACTCATCATCCAGCTCTGTGTGTGGTTGCAGAATTTATTCAACTTCACACTCTCAAAAGTCGTCCCTATACTAAATTTCTATATCAATCTGGTGATTACGATTCTATTATTTCTAAACTTGATGCCATTGATTGGCATCAAGAACTTAACTCTAAGCCGTTAGAACAGGGGTTCCCAAAGTATTTTTCTACACGCCACCCTGCTGCCTAAAATAGAAATGCCCACGCCCCCCTTCACTTCGATGCAAGGAAGAGGAAATAAATGGGTTAGCTAAGTATCCCAATCGAACTAATAAAGTGAGTTTGTGTCGTTTTTTTACACTGTCATTAACTACTCAACATTTCGGGGGTATAGGATAGGACATAAGGTACCTTTTATATAAAAAAAGTATTGTTCCCGTAAGATAGAAATTGATTGACAAAATCTATATTAACGCGAGCAATGCCTAGGGAAAAAGCCTAGTTTTAAAGTAAAAGGATAATGAATAATAAACAGGGGTAAAAAACCATAATCAAATATTTTTATTAATATTGTTGTGACAAGAAAAACAAAGAAATACATAATCGTCACGGTCAGTGAGAAATATGCAAGCCCATCCAGGCTTGCATATTTTTAATAATGTTTTCAATTCTGGGTTGAATAGAAGAAAGAGCACAACGTAGATCACTAGTGATATCGAGTTTGTTTCTGTATTTGGTTTTTATGACCACTACTGCTTAAAATGCCTTTTCGCATAAATAAGTACTCGAAAATGGTAAAAACAGTTTCAGTGATTCTTCTGCTATATTGGGATAAACTTCGAGATATTTTACCCAAAATAATGGCTTATCCATCTTCTCAAAATCATATTTGGCAGCTGAATCATTTTTTATTTCTAAAGCTTGTTCTTGAAGTAGCTCTGGCAGCACGTCTATGTCAACGTGAAAAGGATCCGTCGCCAATCGATAAATATTGTCATCAAACAAGTTTGGGAAGTAGCGCTTGAATTCATCACTGAGGTGCTGCAAGTGGTTGGATATTTCGGTCTTAGTGTCGGTTTCGCAAAAAAACTCCATAAAACATTTGTTCTCTGTGATTGCATATAATTTATGAAAGAACGAATAATTGTCTGCTAAAATCTTACGTTTCCACAATAGCAACTTCTCAGTAAACACTGTGATAGCATCTCGGTGATTAATTATATTTGAATCTCCTCCTTGCAGTTTTAAGTTTAATGAGTTTAATGAATCGAACATATCCGTTAAATAAGCAAATACCACTTGAACTTTTGGCTTTCTGAATTCTACAAATAATTCACTTTGTTTTTGATTATCAAAGAACTGAATAACTTCATCTCGAAGCTCATATAACCTAGTCAGCATATTTCCTTTTGAGAGCCAGCGCACCTCAGTATGAAATAACAGAGTCTTATGTTCTGTACCCAAATCTTCACAAAGAGCCCTAAAAAGTCTAGTATTCAAAGCACACTTTTAACATAATTGACAATTTTATGCATAATGTTAAAATAGCGTTGAATTCATTTGAAAGTGTCTTGGCCGCCAGGGCTTGACGGTGTTTGAAACAGTGAATAGCAATAACATTAAGATTTTTTTCTCTCACCAACTGTACGAAACCTGAGCGAGACCCAAGCATTGTCGGTGCACCATCTGTGCAAACACCCATTAACTTTTACCACGACAGTTCGTGTTTCGCAAAAAAATCAGAAACTGCTGTCATTATATCAATTGCTTTTGTGGTAGTCGTTAATTCTGTAGAAAACAACAATTCGTCTTTTACTGTTTCGTTTTGCATGTATTGAACGAAAACTAAAAGTTGACAACATTGTGCTATATCGGTACTCTCATCCAACTGTATTGCATAAAATGTTGATTCTTTCACGGCCTCTACTACTTGTTTTTTTATATCTTCAGCCATATCATCAATGCGACGTTTAACAGTATTGTCAGAGAAGGGTGTCTGCGAAAATTTTTGTTTAATTTCTGGTTATTTTTGAAAATGTAATTTCTAGTTACATTTTCAAAAATAACTTTCTCAGCACATATCAATCTGGTTTTAGGCCGGGGCACAGTACTACCACAGCTCTTTTGAAAGTTACGGAAGATTTGCGTACTGGAATGGAGAACTCAAAATTGACAGTGTTAATCCTAATAGATTTCTCTAACGCTTTTAATGCTGTCGATCATGACATTCTTCTAGCTATACTTTATCACCTAGGTTTCTCTTCGTCAGCGCGGGACTGGTTCTCATCATATCTTCGGGGTCGTCAGCAGGCAATTCGAGTAGGTCAGATTATCTCTGATTGGTGCTCGTTGTCTGCTGGCGTTCCTCAAGGCGGAATTCTCTCTCCTCTCTTGTTCTCAGTCTTTATAAATCTCATTACACCCCACATTCGCTGTTCGTACCATCTGTATGCTGATGACTTACAAATTTATGCTCAAGCTGAGGTGGCATGTATCGATGATGTGATTGAGAAGCTCAACTGTGATCTCAATTGTATTTCTAATTGGTCAAACAGATTTGGCATTAGGGTTAATCCATCAAAATGTCAGGCTATTGTAGTTGGTAGTTCTCGTAGACTGACTAAAATTGATATGAAGGCGTTACCTCCCATTATATTTAATAATGTTATTGTTCCTTACTCAACAACAGTTAAAAACCTTGGCTTAATTATAGACAACACCCTCAGCTGGCGACCGCATATATATGAAGTGAGCAAAAAGGTCACTAACACTCTGCGTCATCTGTATCGTCTCAAGAATTTTTTACCGTTAGGGACTAAGGCAATGCTAATACAGACTTTAGTGTTGCCTATTCTGGATTATGCAGATGTTTGCTATGCTGATGCCTCGCAAGAACTTCTAAACAAACTGGATCGACTTCACAATAATTGCATACGCTTCATTTTCGGTTTACGTAAATACGACCACATTTCCTCTTATATTTCTCAGCTAAAATGGCTACGTCTCCGCTATCGCAGACATTTCAGAATACTGTGCACGTTATTTTCAGTTTTACACGATCCGTTTGTCCCTGAATATCTGAAATGCAAATTTCAGTATCAAGGTGATACCCATAATCGTTGTCTCCGTTCTACGGAAAAATCTAACCTCCATGTTCCCCTCTGTCACACTAGCTTTTTACACAAATCTTTTACTTCTCATGCGGTAAGATTATGGAACGAGTTACCGGGCAGTGTACGCGCAGCCACGAGCAAGGCATCGTTCAAACGCTTGCTCTGGAATTACTATCTAACGTTGCAGGAGTAGTTTGTGGTTTTCCATTTCATTTTTACATTTGTTATTGGAGTTTGAATAAGAAACTGCCATATTTAATTATGTATATATATGTATAATAAGTAGTATGTGTATAATAAGTAGTAGTAAGTAAATATTTGTATGTATGTATTTATATATATTTATGTATATATATATATATATATATATATATATATATATATATATATATATATATATGTATATACTGTATGTATTATGTAGACATAGATGTTATTTACTTAGCTGTTTGCACTTTGCACCCACAATATTTTCTCTGCTTAGCCTGGAGGTAGACTGGTAGAGAATGCCCTGTTGCATTAAGTCCGCCTTTTTGTACTTGGTGTGCAAATAAAGCATAAATAAATAAATAAATAAATATCAGCTGCTTTTAACAAGCAAGGTTTAATAAGTGATTCTCCGATAGTATGACTTTTCTTTGCCTTTGCGATGATAAGCGATAGTTCATAAGAAGCTTGAAGCACTTTCTCGGACGATTTCGCAAAAGATCCAGTACTATCCAATTTCATACGTTTCAAGCTCGCAGATTTTGATGCAAAAAACTCCTTCGGCTTGTCCTTTAAACTGCTATGTTTTGTTGACAAATGTCGTTCCAGACGAGAGGGTCTCATGGCATCATTGCTCAATACCTTATAACAAATAACACACTGCGGATGATCGATATCACCTTTTTTTATAACAACAAAACCGTATTTAATATAATCATCATTATATTTACGTTTTTTGGCCGAACTCATGACGAAACAAAAGGTATAAACTTAACTTTATTTTTGCGACAAAAAACACGTGTAATGTTTACAAGGCGAACAATACTGACCGACTGGCGGGGGTGGTGGTATGCGTTTGTCCCGCGGCTCTGCGCCCCACTTTACATGTTGTCACGCCCCACTAGGGGGGCGCGCCCCCCAGTTTGAAAAGCAATGCGTTAGAAGATGCCTTGTTATTGTTTTATAATAAATTAGCTGACCTCCTTCAAACGTATATCCCTACTAAGACTTTTACACCAAGGTTTAAATATCCATTATGGTATAAGAAATCCCTAATTAAAATTTTGAAAGAAAAACATAAGTATCACTCGAAATATAAGAAATACGGGAATCAGTCTGACCTTCAATCATTTATTAGACTCAGAGAACAAGCCAAGACTCTGGAAAAACAAATGTTTGATACATACATTTCTAACGTTGAAAAAAATATTTGTAATAATCCTAAAGCGTTTTGATCTTATATAAAAACAAAAAACAAAGTCAATTCATATCCCGCTGTATTACGTTTTGGAAAGAAATCATCAGATTGTGGCGCAGAAATATGCAATTTGTTTAGTGATTATTTTCAGTCAACTTTTTTAAATAGTACCCATACGTACATTAACCCAGATGTCACCTCTCAAATGAACTATAATATACCATCTGATATAGGGGATATAGAGGTCACATTTGATGAAGTATTTAAGCTTTTGAAATCACTTGACTTAAGTAAATCAGCTGGGCCTGATAACATACCAGCTGTTTTTATCGTGAGGTGCGCCAAGAGCCTTGCGTTTCCTTTGACTATATTATATCGGCGTTCTTTGTCAGAAGGTTTAATGCCAAGAATCTGGAAATCGGCTTATGTCACACCAATTTACAAAAAAGGCCCAAGAGATCAAGTTGACAACTACCGACCTATTTCCAAATTATGTCTATTTGCAAAAGTGCTTGAAAGAATTGTCTATGATCAACTATATGCTGCCCTAAAACATACACTTAGCTTTCAACAACACGGTTTCGTCAAGGGTCGGTCAACAACTACTAATCTTATATTATGTACTGACTACTTATCAGAACATATGTCAGAGCCCTCACAAGTCGATGTGGTCTACACAGACTATAGCAAATGCTTTGATCGAATAGACCATTTGCTGTTATTACACAAAATTCAATCAGTAGGAATACGAGGTAATTTATATCGGTGGTTCACCTCTTACGTCCAAAATCGGAGTCAGACAGTTGCCCTAAATGGTTACACCTCTAAGGCCATGCCAATACCTTCTGGTGTCCCACAGGGCTCCTTGCTAGGGCCTTTACTCTTTAATATTTTTGTTAATGATATCATCATATGTTTCAAGTACTCAAAAATCCTACTTTACGCCGATGATATGAAAATATTAAGTCCAATAACGTCCCTCGAAAGCGCATATCATTTGCAAGAAGACTTTGAAGGTTTGAAAATTACTGTCTATACAATAAATTAGACTTAAATGTCTCCAAATGCTATATTTGCACATACACACGGAAGACTAAACCTATAATTTTCCGCTACACTATAAAACATATAGATATAACTAGAGTCAACACTATCCGCGATTTAGGAGTAATTTTTGACTCCAAATTACTGTTTAATAAACATATTGACAATATTATAAACAAAGCCTCTAAAGCTCTTGGCTTTATTTTAAGAATGTATTCTGATTTCAATTCTATTAAAACCTTCAAAATTCTTTACTGTGCTTTCGTACGAAGTCATCTAGAGTATGCCTCTCAAGTATGGAATCCTACCTATAATATTTATTCTACGCGTATTGAACGGATTCAGAAAAAATTTCTTCGCTATCTTCAATTTAGAGTTAAGATCTTTCTACCGAATTACACAACACGTTGCCGAAAGTTTCACATTTTGCCGCTATATGAAAGAAGGCGCATAGCGGATCTATCTTTTCTAATTAATATAGCAAATAGCACGATCGACTGTCCCGAACTGTTGGAGCAAATACGTTTACAAGTTCCATACGCATCTTCACGCAAGCCGTGCAAACTATACGTGCCGGGAGTAAATACAAACTACAGGCAAAATTCTTATTTAATAAGAGTGAGCAAGTGTTTCAATGACGTGGCGAAAATACATAATTTAAAATTAAAAATTTTGTACAGCCGACTTCAATATAAGTTATTTAAGAATAACTTAAAAACTATTGGTCTGACCTTGATCAAATTCATATGGGACCACACGAGAAGTACCAGCTTTCAAATAAAAAAAGAATCATCGAAATTGGTTCACCCAGAAAAAAGTTCTGAGGTAACACACATAAAAAAAAAAAAAAAAAAAAAAAACGAAAAAAAAAAAAACATACAGTCGAATTGAGTACCGGCTCCTTTTTGGAAGTCGGCAGAAAATGTAGACTTATTTAACACCTCTAGCAGGCAGCTTATGCGTCTACTGAGTAATAAGTTTTTCGTTTACTGATGTGTATTACATATACCATGCATTGTTATTTATTTCATTTTACTTTTTAAATCATCTTTTATTGTGTCATTAAATCTACGTCTACGTCACTTGTGCAATTTTTCTCTGTACTTTATTTATAAGTGGGAACTTTTAATTGGCCTTCAGTACATTTTTTTTATTTTTATTGTTCATACATTTATAACCAGCTGTAAGTTCTCCTAAAATTGTAATAAATAAATAAAAAAAAAAATAGTTTACCACCAGCGATTTTTCCGGACCGATACACCTTAGGGACCTTCAAGAAAAGAGCCTACTCCTTTTTAAAAGGCCGACAACGCATCTGCAATTCCCCTGGTGTTGCGGTTGTTCATGGGCGGCGGTAGTCACTTACCATCAGGTGAGCCACATGCTCGTTTGCCCCCTCTCGTATAAAAAAAAATACAAGTATTCAATGCCAGAAGTCACTAATTAAACACTTACGCGTGAAATCTTATATCACCTCCTAGACACCAACAACTGCAGCAACCACGCACTACACAAGTTTACTCCATTTCTTGAATTATAACAATAATTAACTTTAATTATCTCAAACGACGATGTGAACTGTTAAGTAAACAACCGCCATATTTGTCCAAAGAGTATAGTAATATATATTTGCAAAGAGTATAGTAATATATAAGGAAGAAGAGAACCCTCTTGCGAGTAAAACTGGTGCTCCTTGGAAACAGCGCCACCTGATGATTGTTACGCCAACTATAATATTTAGATGTTTGTGTGTATATACCAATTCACTCACACGAGAGCACTCTGTGAATGTGTGCGTGTGTATATGTACAATGCTCTTTGCCTACCCTCACATTCAATATTCTATATATTTTATGGCTCCAGTACACGTTGGCCGAGCGCGCTCGCCGAGTGCACTCGGCCAACGTGTACTGGGCCGTTTTGTATATATTTGGCGTTTGCGGCCAACGCTCGCCGACGAGCCGTATAGTGTCGGTTTTCTGTGCACAAATCAAAGGAATTTGGCGCAAGCCGCAAGCAGTGTTCACACGTTGGCTGAGTGTTCAGTTCATAGTTACGCGTCGGAGTAAACTGTAGTGTCGGCTTGATAAAATTGTTTCAACATGGCGACATGGACTAATGAGGAAATATTTATTTATTTATTTAACAGTTTATGTACACACATAATTCGATAGGAAAATGGTAAAAACATAATTATGTACAAAGGCACTGCCTATTCCATGATGACATTTCTTCCAGCAGGCATATTGAAGGATAGTTGAAGGAAATAGAGGTAGTCAAAATGTGCACTTACATAAATATACATAGACAATACAAATATATACATATACATACACACACACATATATATATACGCATGTATATATATAAATAAATATCATATATTATGAAAAAATATATAATTCAATATAATATATTTTTAATGTTACTTATATCCATACCAACACATTACGATTTAATAATTATGGAGTAAATATTGATTCATTGTTCATTGATTGATCCTCACAATGAATCAGTTATATGGAACCCCAAACATGAGCAACATAAAAATAAAACCAGAGGAACTTGCCTAACTGCATTAAATAATACATGTTTAGTTGCGATTTCAGAGTACCTACGTAATGATAAATATTATTATAAATAATTATCTCTGCGTTTATGTTGTTCAGGGATAATGTAGCTTAGGGGCTTCTTTTGGGCTATCTTTTATTTTGGAAAAACCCCCAGCAAAGCGGGCACGAGTAGCTAGTAAATCCTATAAAGGTTTCTTTTTTCCTTTTGAGGTCGGAACCCTAAAAAGGACACACTGGGATTATTGTCGTATGTGTAGTTTTTTTCTTGTTCACTCTGAGAAGAGTGAAGCGCTGTATAAGTATATGACAGCGGCCGCGATTGCCCTAACGTCCATCATCATCTAGCTACCAACGCAGAATGAAACACGCCAACGTGTGAACGGCACCACGAAAATCTGCCGAGCGCGCTCGCCAAGCGCACTCGGCCAACGTGTACTGGAGCCATTAAACTTATATTACTATTTCCATTCCAATTTTCTACGAATGTAGAAATTACATTCTACATTCGTAAAAAGTTGAAATGGAAATAGTAATAAATGAATATAATAGGTACATATTGGAATTTATAAAAATTTAATAACGCAAAGCTTAAGAGTAAGATCAAAGTTAACAATTAGCTATGCATTCATACATAAGTAGAAAATTGGAATGGCACACGGTTAATTTGACCAAACAGAAATAAAACAATTATTTTCATAGAGATTTAAATATATTATTAACAGTTATTAGATACACAGAAATAAACTTGGGCACTCAATTTTAGGTGATTATGGAAGCATCTTAGAACACATCGTTTTCAGCAACCATTATTATTCGTAAAACATTTTCATTAAGTAAAACGACTCTAATAAATCACCATAAACTAAATATTCACTGGCTAGTAACACCACACTTAAGTAATTGTTCTACGAAATACGAAATTAACTAAATCGACA